GAGGACCTCCTAAGCTCAGCAGAGACATTCCTAGCCCAGTGAGGACATTCCTAGCCCAGCAAAAACATTGTGAGCTCATTGAGGACCTTGTGAGCACTGTGAGGACCTCCTAAGGTCAGCAGAGACATTCCTAGCCCAGCATTCCTAGCCCAGCAAAAACCTTCTGAGCCCATTAGGAACCTTATGTGCCCAGTGGAGACTTGTGAGCCCAGTGAGAACCTCCTCAGCTCATCAGGGACATTCCTAGGCCAGTGAGGATCTTGTGAGCCCAATGAGGACCTCATGAGCTCAGCATTCCTAGCCCAGTGAGGATATTCATATCTCAGTAAAAACCTATAAGAGCAAACTGAGGACCTTGTGAGCCCATTGAGGATTTTGTTGCGCAGTGAGGCCCTTGTGAGACCAGTGAGGACCTCACGAGCTCAGCAGAGACATTCCTAACCCAGTGAGGAAATCATAGCCGAGTAAAAACTCCTTCCAAGCAAAGTGAGGACCTTGTGAGCCCCACTGAGGACCTTGTGAGCCCCACTGAGGACCTTGTGAGCCCCACTGAGGACCTTGTGAGCCCCACTGAGGACCTTGTGAGCCCCATGGAGGGCATTGTAAGCCCCTTCAGAAAATTTTGAGCCCATAGAGGAGGACTTTTTGAGACCAGTGATGAAACTGTTATAATGCCTTGCCTGCTTGAAGCTAGCACAGCGTTTTCAGCAACCAGGCCTTCCAATTGGTTGACAAATGTTGAGAAATGTCTTTCTTTCTGAGCCAAGCGGATACAAGCACCACCCAACATCTTCGGCTGCGAATGCTGCTCTGGCCGCATTTCTGAGTGCAGAAGCTGCTTAATTATTAATTGCAAGACAACCTGAGGGCGGTATGTTGGGGCCATTGCAATGCTGGCCTGCCCATGTGTCTCTTACCTCCAGCCTTAACCGGAGACTTGGCCAGGCTCTCACCTGAGCTATAAACCTTTTAAAACAACCATAACCTCACCTTTAACTGTATCCTTCACCCCACAATAATTAACCTTTAAGTGCAAGCTAACATAAAACAGTAACCCTAAAAATTGGACCTATCAGCTAAATCTTAACCCCTGGACTTTACCCCCGATGAACGCTACTGATCTTGTCCAGTAGTGCAACACTCAACAGAAAAATCCTTCTCTTCTGTGCTGAGACCTTCCAACATCCAGAAACTCACATTCTGCCTAATGCTGACTTACATTTTAAAAGAAGAAAGCAGCTACCCTTAAAAGAAACCCTCCACCCAGAAGTGAACTTTAGTCCTCTCAGTGTGCTGTCCTTGACAAATCACAGTGTTTTTTGGAAAGAAGGTCCACCAAGGTTGGGTTAATATCCGTGTGAAGATTGGAAATGTGCACAATGGGACCGATATAATAGCATTCAGTAAGAAGCAATGGTTTTTGTTGCAGCATGCAACGATTTTTTTTTTGCATTTTCTTCTGTCTGAACAAAATAATTCGATTCAGCCACTTTTTTTTATATGTATGTTTGACTCGTTATTGGAAAAAGGCGATGCATGGCTCTTTCCTTTATGTTATTAAATATGTCCCCGTCATTCTGCACTGAAAGGCAGCCATTTCACTCCGGCATAAAAGGAACCCGTGCTGATGAAAATACAGAGGCTGCCAATGGTGAGCATGCTAGTTGCCTGGCTGTCTCGAATTTCCATGGTTTCTGAGCCACTGACCCCGAGCTAGCATGCAGCAAGTAAAGTCACAGTGAATTCAGACCTTTTCATCTGTCTTTCTATCAGGTCAACGATTGCAAGAGTATTAAGGCTGGTAGATCAGCATCTGTAGAGGGTATGAGGTGGAGGTGGTGGTAGGATGGCATTGGAGTATTTTTGTTGGCTCTGTGGTGAAGAGGAAGAGCCACATGGGAGGAATCTACACTCCTGCTCTGCTATAAAGGTGACCTGTGGATGTAATGGAACCCCACCTGTGTAGCGTTGGTTTTCTGGGTGGGGAGATCCTCAAAGTGTTGTCAGAAGGCTTTTTGAATGTGCCTTTTTCATTAAAACAACCAACATGGCCAACATTTTTCATAGAATTTTGGGGCACAAACTTCTTCAGGACTGTGCACCAAACCATGGCTGCTACTTAACAGCATAGACTCTGCAAGATCCAGGGCACCAGTAAAACCAGTCAGCAATTGGACCAGAATTGGCAGACTTTCCAGAACTCTGAAGAAAGAGGTGCCCCAGGCTCCCTGCTCCCCCCCCCTAAGAAAAAAATGTGTTGGCTCTACTTGCTTTCCTTTTACTTCTAGCTCTGTTTGAGTTTATTGGTCCCGTGGATCTTTTTGTGGGCTTGCAGACAATCTGTGCTTTGTTCTGTGGTTGCCTCTAGAAGCCAGCTTGTCCTCTGGCCACAGATTACCGCACAGACTGCTCCAATTGAAAAGAGAAAAAATCGGCCACACTCAAGTAAGCTCCAATTGCAGTATTTTTTTAATAAGCAAAGCATTGACTGCATACAGTAATGTCTCCAACCCAAAACCAGCCTTCCTTGGTGCATTTCACCACCCCCTGGCTTGCTCACAAGGATAGGGGTGCAAACCAGGAGTGGTGAAACGCATCAAGGAAGGCTGGTTTTAGGTTGGAGACATCGCTGTATGGAGTCAACTTACTGAAAAGAAGAGCTAATTGGAGTGCAGGTGAATTTTTCCTATTGTCAATGAAGAGTGGAGACAGACTGTGCTGGCCGGCACACAGGTCGTTCCATGAGATGGCAGGCTTGAGCAGAGCTATGGATCCGTGTGTTTTTTTGTTCAAAGACTGCTCCAGTTAGCAACTGAACCCCAACTAGCATCATTTTCCAGGGCCCTGAAGAAGTAGGCACTCCAAAAACCCTCTGAAAACGTGTTGGCTGAACCTACATTTGTTTTATTAAACGAAAATAAATTGGATGCCTCCTCACATTCAAAAGCCCTCTGACTCTTTATGGTGTCCTCACCCACCAAGCAGTGGACACAAGACAGCCAGGCAGCCAGCATTATCAAAAGGCAACGTCAGCTTTGGCAGACTTAATACTTCTCCAAGTACAGGTTGCCTTTGAATATTTATCTTCTAGAAATATATTTTCTTATATATTTCTTATTCCTGTCAGAGTTGGAGAAATTTTCCTGGTCTCAGTAGGAGAAGAAATGCTGAATAAGATGTACACCATATACTGGTACTCTGGGAATAACATTCATCAAATGTCTCCAGTGCTATTAATACTGTGATCACAAGGGTTCAGCAAATCAAAGGCTTAGTAACTAGCGGCTTTTCAGCTGGTATGGAACTACAAGTCCCAGAGGGTCATGAGGCATGCTGGGATTTGTAGTTCTTCACCTGCTGGTGGGCCGCTTTGTGTTTAAGCTGGGATGAAATGCCGAAGACCCTCGAAAGATGAGGGAGTCTCCGGTATACCATTCTCTGGCAGCATGCGGTACCATGATGTTGGCAGCTACAGTAAAGTCCTATAACGAACAGCATCCAATCACATTGGATCTTTGTTGTCACACTTATGAGGGTTACAGGATTTTCAAGCTGTAAATTGGGAACAATCCACAGGGTGCTGTAATGGGTGCAGACAGCATTCCCTATCTCTATATTGTATGTATATAGGTGATTCTGTCTACTGTATGTCATTAGGCTTAGTAACTAGTGGCTTTTCAGCTGCTGTGGAACTACAAGTCCCAGACGGTCATGAGGCATGCTGGGATTTGTAGTTCTTCACCTGCTGGAGGGCCACTTTGTGTTTCAGCTGGGATGAAATGCCGAAGACCCTCGAAAGATGAGGGAGTCTCCGGTATAACATTCTCTGGCAGCATGCGGTATCATAATGTTGGCAGCTACAGTAAAGTCCTGTAACGCACAGCATCCAATCACATTGGATCTTTGTTGCACACTTATGGGGGTTACAGGATTTTCAAGCTGTAAATTGGGAACAATCCACAGGGTGCTGTAATGGGTGCGGACAGCATTCCCTATCTCTATATTGTATGTATATAGGTGATTCTGTCTACTGTATGTCATTAGGCTTAGTAACTAGTGGCTTTTCAGCTGCTGTGGAACTGCAAGTCCTAGAGGGTCATGAGGCATGCTGGGATTTGTAGTTCTTCACCTGCTGGAGGGTCACTTTGTGTTTCAGCTGGGATGAAATGCCGAAGACCCTCGAAAGATGAGGGAGTCTCCGGTATAACATTCTCTGGCAGCATGCAATACCATGTAGTTGGCAGCTACAGTAAAGTCCTGTAACGCACAGCATCCAATCACATTGGATCTTTGTTGCACACTTATGAGGGTTACAGGATTTTCAAGCTGTAAATTGGGAACAATCCCCAGGGTGCTGTAATGGGTGCGGACAGCATTCCCTATCTCTATATTGTATGTATATAGGTGATTCTGTCTACTGTATGTCATTAGGCTTAGTAACTTGTGGCTTTTCAGCTGCTGTGGAACTGCAAGTTCTAGAGGGTCATGAGGCATGCTGGGATTTGTAGTTCTTCACCTGCTGGAGGGCCGCTTTGTGCTTCAGCTGGGATGAAATGCCGAAGACCCTCGAAAGATGAGGGAGTCTCCGGTATAACATTCTCTGGCAGCATGCAGTACCATGTAGTTGGCAGCTACAGTAAAGTCCTGTAACACACAGCATCCAATCACATTGGATCTTTGTTGCACACTTATGGGGGTTACAGGATTTTCAAGCTGTAAATTGGGAACAATCCCCAGGTGCTGTAATGGGTGCGGACAGCATCCCCGACTGTATATTGTATGTACATTGGTGATTCTCTACTGTACATCATTACATATGGTCTGCTTTGGATGGGTTAAAGCATTCGGTTTGGTGTTCATAACTGCTAACACTGCATGATGTGTGGCTGAAAATGTTTTCAGATGTTCTTTATTAGGAACCTGCCCTGTGTGGACGCCGGCCTAGCTGCCCCTCTCATTTCAGTTCTGCCATTTGATTGGTGCGTTTTTTGGTACAACAGGAAGTCATGTTCTTGGCACACTCTCCGCATGAGGAAACGGGACGGCAAGGAGCCGAACGGCCAGTGTAAAAGCGTGGAGGGTCTGGGCAGCAAGGTGAAAGTGAGTAAGGCGCTAGATCACTACATGGCGCTCGTCCTGCAAGGGTGCAGGTGTTATCGCATTTCTGTTTTTGTTTTTTTTTTTTTCCTCTTATTTAATTTCTGCAGGAGTTTGCATGGCGCTCATCTGGCACTATTGTTTAATTTGATATTTTGCATCCGGTACGAGCAGCCACCTCCACTCTGCATGCCGATCAGCCTGTCCGCTGACATCCCGGGATTAACCTTGAGGTCTCTAGATGACTCTTAGCCAAAATGTTGTGATACGCGATGGTCCCTTCATATTTATTTCCCAATAAATGATTATGTAAATCTAAGATGAGTTTCTAAGAGTTGGGCACAGATTTTTGCTGATTTATATATAGATAGTTAATAAAATCAATCCTTAATAAATACAAATATATATGAAGACCACTGATGGCCCTCCAGCCGACAATTGCCAGGCAAAATTATAGGTCTCATGTTTTCTGAAGTAAATGATCAAAATAAAGATGTTTTCGCTTTAAACATCCAAGTTTCTCCGATTCCCAAAACACGTTCTGGACCTGGAGCGGTGACTCTGTTGAGGTTGAAGAGGCAGGCCTGCCCCCTCCGGTACCTCGAATGTGGTTTGGGGGTTTGAGAGTGGCAGCTTTTCTTTGAAGCTTCTCACAAAACCGTATTGAGTGTTATATTTTTTTTTTTACAAATGCAGTTCTTAAAGTGTATCTAAACCCAAGCACTCTGCAGCTCATTGGTCTTTGGATGTGGTGGCTGCCTTACTTTTCCTTTTTTTTTTTTTTTTTGGCTTTTTTTTTTTTCCTTTCTTCCCCTGATAATCCTGCCAGTAATACACATCCTGTTCTAGGGTGACGACCCTCAGTTACTGTACTGTATCTATGGAGGAACATCTTCGTCACCCTTGGACAGGAATACAAAACACCTTCAGCCTCCTCACTTCCATACATAGATCGGCGTTCTTTAGTAGTAGTTAGGAAGGAGTTGTTTGAATTATAAAGCGGGTATTCAGTCACTTTCTGGCTTACTATGTGTTAAGTCCAACGAGGTGCATGCGATTTCATGCACTTGTCTCTCTTATTTACAACTGACAGTTCTACTAAGTGCTGGGAGTACAGCTATTGCTGTACTCCCGGCGCTCTGACAGGTGAGATGCTGCTTTCTCACACAACAGCTGCTCTGCCTGCCCTTTCCCTCTGCTGTCCATTCACAGCTCTGTCCTGTCCACATGGTATGGCTATCCACATAGGAGCACTGTACCTCCAACAGGCTCCGCCTCTGGTAGACTTCAATGGGAAACCGCCTCTCCCGTAGACTTCAATGGGAAACCGCCTCCCGTAGCCTTCAATGGGAAACCGCCTCCCGTAGGCTTCAAGGGAAACCCCTCCTCCATAGACTGCAACGGGAAACCGAAAGAGCCGGACCTCCCGTAGGCTTCAAAGGGAAACCGCCTCCCGTAGGCTTCAAAGGGAAACCGCCTCCCGTAGGCTTCAAAGGGAAACCGCCTCCCGTAGGCTTCAAAGGGAAACCGCCTCCCGTAGGCTTCAAAGGGAAACCGCCTCCGTAGACTATGGGAAACCACCTCCCATAGGCTTTGATGGGAAACCGCCTCCCGTAGACTTCAATGGGAAACCGCCTCCCGTAGTAGACTGCTACTTGACGGGAAACCGCCTCAATGGCCTCCCGTAGAAACCGCTCCCCGTAGGCTTCAAAGGGAAACCGCCTCCCGTAGGCTTCAAAGGGAAACCGCCTCCCGTAGGCTTCAAAGTAAACCCGCCTCTTGCTTCAAAGGGAAACCGCCTCCCGTAGGCTTCAAAGGGAAACCGCCTCCCGTAGGCTTCAAAGGGAAACCGCCTCCCGTAGGCTTCGATGGGAAACCGCCTTCCGTAGACTTTGATGGGAAACCGCCTTCCGTAGACTTTGATGGGAAACCACCTCCCATAGGCTTCGATGGGAAACCCGCCTCCGTAGACTGCGACGGGAAACCGCCTCCCGTAGGCTGCGACGGGAAACCGCCTCCCGTAGACTGCGACGGGGAAACCGCCTCCCGTAGGCTTCAAAGGGAAACCGCCTCCCGCTCCCCTCCCGTAGGCTTCAAAGGGAAACCGCCTCCCGTAGGCTTCAAAGGGAAACCGCCTCCCGTAGGCTTCAAAGGGGGAAACCGCCTCCCGTAGGCTTCAAAGGGAAACCGCCTCCCGTAGGCTTCGATGGGAAACCGCCTTCCCGTAGACTTTGATGGGAAACCACCTCCCATAGGCTTCGATGGGAAACCCGCCTCCCGTAGACTTCCATGGGAAAAAGGGAAACCACCTCCCGTAGACTGCGACGGGAAACCGCCTTCCGTAGGCGACGGGAAACCGCCTCCCGTAGGCTGCGACGGGAAAAGCGCCTCCCGTAGGCTTCGAGGGAAGCCGCCTTCCGTAGACTTCAGTGGGAAACCGCCTCCCGTAGACTCCAATAGGAAACGCCGCCTCCCGTAGACTTCAATGGAAAAACCGCCTCCCGTAGACTTCAATGGGAAACCGCCTCCCGTAGACTTCAATGGGAAATCGTGCCACACTTCAATAGCAAAAATTCCTGTCACTTGCAATCCTGTGAGAACATTTATCTCCACATGCCACTCTACTCTATCACTTGTGAGTCTGGAATGCACCGCTACAGACAGGACCCTGTTCATAATGACACTCAAAATGCAATGCGTGTGGATGGCATCCGTGTGAACCTCCTCAATAGGAACACATAATATCCAGCCTGTCATGCGAATCTGTGAGTTTCAAAACAAATCCAGAATCGCATACATGTGTGAACCAGGGCGGCTCCATTCACACCTGAGCATTTCGGGATTGCAGCAGAATCGCTGGTTCAGTTGCCTTTTTTTTTTTTTTTCAATGGCTTCTAAAACGTGGTGCTGCTTTTGCCGTGATTGTCGTGTGGCAAATTGCATCGCGTGAAGTCCTGGGCGCTGACAACCCACACTTTTAGCTGCTTCCTAGATTCAAAGGAAATTCAAGCCCTGAAAAGGACTCTTGATTTCTGGCAGGATCAGCAGCTATTTTGCAGAAAATGTGCTTCAAAATGAAAACTAATGCAGCCACCACATCTAAGGCCTGGGCAGCTGCAATATATTACAATGTTGTTTTTAGGTTTAGACATCCTTTAAGTTCTCCATCAGGGGTGTAAGGTAGGGCGCAACGGGAAGGGTTGTCTCCAGGTATCAGGTGTAGATTATCCTTTGTACCTGGTCTTCATGTCTGCATCACTTGTCATTCTCTGTCCCCTCCATGTCCCCAGAAACGTGCTGTTCAGTCCATGTCACTGTGCCGCAGATTATCACCCGGTCCCACCTCGACCTGGGCCTCCATATTCCTCCTCATGTGTATGTCCTCCACTAACTGCCGCCTGTTGAAGTGAAGAGCTTGTTTGTCATTCTGAATTGTGTCCCAGACTCCAAACATTCCATTAACTGTCCTGCGCATGTGCTTGTATGTGAGCGTGTCTGTGTGCTGGGTGCATGGGATGCGGCTCCACCTGTTTACTGCTTGTTCCTCCAGAGTCCTCTCCGTTCCATACTGCCACCTCTGCAGCATTCAGCTGTGCATGCAAAGCATCATGTTTGTTCCAGCCAATCCCGACTTCTCTCATCATGGAATGAAAAAAAATGGAATACGGGCCAGCAATGCATTTCTCACCTTCCCTGCAGAAAGTTACATAAAAAAAAAAGGACTTGTAATTGATGGAGCTTAATATTGCCCTCCATTCCCCTTGATCTGTCCTTTCGGCTCGTAGAGTAAGGCCCACCTCTAAACCACCAGTGCGCATTGTCGCATTTTACCATCTGGCCACCTAGATCTGATGAGATAAATACTTGCATAGTTACATAGTTAGTTTGCCTGAAAAAAGACAAAAGTCCATCCAGTTCAACCATTAAAAAAAAAAGTTATAATCCTACACCCACAGTTGATCCAGAGGAAGGCAAAAAGTCCAGCAAAGCACGATCCAATTTGGGGAAAAAATTCCTTCCTGATCCCCCGAGAGGCAATCGGATATTCCCTGGATCAACTTTCCCTATAAATGTTATATCCAGTTATATTCTGTGTATCCAAGAAAGAATCCAGGACTTTCCTACAGCAATCCACTGAGCTGGCCACAACCAACTCTTGAGGGAGTCTGTTCCATACTCTCAATGCCACCATGTTTTACACCATCTACAATTATCCTAACTTAAAGTCCAGAAGAACGTTCCCCTAAAATTCTCAACTTGATGACATCTAGGAAGTCCATAGCACCAAAAATGGGAAAATGTGGTCAAACCAACAATGGATCTTGGCCAATGAATGGCATCAACCTACCCAAGAGTGAATCCAATGGTGAAGAACCGTTGATATCTACGATGGAAATATATGCCCTCAACCCAAATATTTAGCTGGTCTAATATCAGGAAATTGGGGGAACATTTGTCAGACACAAAAGCCAATATTGTCCTGCTCTAAGCTGATTGGAGGTCACTTGGGAGCCCACAATGTGCCCCTTTCCGAGTGCCCATTACAGACATCTTTTTGTTAGATGATGACATCTAGGAAGTCCATAGCACCAAAAACGGGAAAATGTGCTCAAACCAACCATGGATCTTGGCCAATGAATGGCATCAACCTACCAAAGAGTGAATCCAATGGTGGAGAACCGTTGATATCTACGATGTAAATATGCCCTCAACCCAAATATTTAGCTGGTCTAATATCAGGAAATTGTGGGAAACATTTGTCAGACACGTAACCCAATATTGTCCTGCTCTAAGCTGATTGGAGGTCACTTGGGAGCCCACAATGTGCCCCTTCCGAGTGCCCATTACAGACAGATCTTTTTGTTAGCAGTCCCACGCTGATCTATATTCAGACAAAACCAACGTGTAATAAAAGAAACCGCGGTAGTGGTGTATCCAATATTTATGAAGAAAACAGCTGTAGACACGCTAGGCGACATCAACTTTGGCCAACAATGTCTAAG